AGCAGCGGGCCCGGGCGGTCGGGCTGCCGTGCGTCGCGGTTTTGGCATCGAAGAGAGCCAGCGGGCTGATCCCCCGCGTCGGTGTCCGTCGTCGCTTCTCTCCAGGGGCGACGACGGCGCCGGGCTCGCTACCTGGAGAACTAGCCGTGGGCGATACCTACTTCGATACCTGCGCTCGTCTCATCCTGGAACCGTACAAGCTGCTGGAAGCCATCGATGAGTGGCTCGACATTGCGGAGCGCATCGCTGAATACGACGACGGCGTCGTGTTGATGGATTGGCAACTGCGAGACGAGCTCGCTGCGATGGAGCGACTCAACGAACTTGGCGCAGCGATAGCGTTAGCGATCGATCTCGAGTCTAAGGGCATGGACTCCTCGCCGCTCTTTAGGTTTCGCGAACACTTCTGGCAGCTGGGCGCCATGATTGATACGCACGTCAACAGTGAAAACATTGACCATGAATTGAGTGTCAGCGTGCATTTTGATCAGGCATTCGATTCGAGCACGCAGCAGGAGCGATTAGACCTCTTCCTTGAAGCCTACAGCACTCTGCGCCGATTCTGGGATGTGGTGTTGTACCGGGTGACGATTTCAGACGATTGGCCAACTCATCCTCCGACTGCCACCGGCGACACCACGGAAGCCTCCGATGCTTTAGCGGCAAAGGTCGAAGCGAAGGCAAAGGTCGAGGCGTTGCAGCGCGGCGGCCAGAATGACGAGCGTGACGAGTGGCTATACCGAGAGCGGAAGAAGGGCACGAGCGTAAAGTCTCTCGTCGATCAACTAGACCCGGAGAAACTGAAGTCTTCGCATCCGGATTGGGAACCAATCTGCTCGGCAGCCGGCGTTACAAATGCCGTTAGGCGCCACTGCATCCGACGCAAGTACACGTGGCCAATACCGAAACTGCGTACAGCGACCGCCGAAGGCAGATAACACTTCAGGGTGTTACGTAACACTTGCCACGTGTGTAGTTGGAGATTCTCTTCCGGTCGCTAACCTCGCTGATGCCTTGCGTTTTCTTGCGCAATCACATCCGCCTTGAGGTTAACCGATGATCGATCCTCTCTCTGTGTCGCCTGGCGACAAGCTTGGGCCCCCCGGCGAAATGGTCCGCCGCGCGACCGGCGTTGAGTACACGCCCGGCACGATCTCCCGTCTGATTCATCAAGGGCGGAACGGTGTGCGACTCAAGGTCGCCATGGTCTCCGGTCGGCCCATGACCACCGAGGCGGCGGTCCTCGAGTTCGTCGAAGCCTGCACCTCGCAGGCCGCCGGCCCGGCGAACGTCAGCGCCTAAGTCGCTGCCGCCCTCTTTCTCCCTGCCTGTCAGAAGGGACACCATGCCCCCAGCAGCCCCAGCAGAACTGCCGACGCTCAGTTCACGCCGCGACGCCGCAGCGTTCCTCGGCGTCTCTGAGCGTCAACTCGACGCGTGGATCTCGACCGGCGCCATCCGCGCAACACGCCTCGGCCGCCTGGTGAAAGTTCACCGCGACGAACTCGAACGAATCGCCCGGGAGGGCATCGCACCATGAACGGCGCCGAACCGCTGCAACCGCGAAACGCCCCGCCGAGTCCGCGTCAAGCGCAAGGGTGCGACGCCACAGAGATAACGCCCGACTCGGACCGCCGCACGACCGGCGGTGACAAGGGCGGCGATCAGCGACGCGACGACCTCCGCGCGAAAGACGTTGCGGAGTGACCAACAAAAAACCCCGGGCCCCTGTGAGCATCAGGGGCGCCAGGGCGAATGGATTGCGGCTCTGAGCACCACACCCGAGCCGACGACAACACGCATGAAGCATGATCCGACACAACATCGACCGCGGCAAGTCCCGACGGACCAACTCGCACCGCGAGGCGTACGATGTCGCGCGTTGGCGTTTACAGCTAGCAGCACGACGCCGCGGCATGAATGGTTCGCTGTCGGCCTACCCAGCGCCGGCGCCGCAAACCGTGGGCGATCTCTTCGCAGCCGCGGAGCTGATCCTCGATGTCGGCACGGGCGACTTGCCCCACACTGCGGCGCGTCGGCTGACGCGGGACGCACAAACGTTGGTTATGACTTCTGCCGCGTCGCAATGGGCGGGGGTCGCATGAAATCCGCCGGGACTTCGATCGCTGTAGAGCCGACTCTCTGCCCCGCATCGCAAGAGGCGAAGATGATGCTGGGGTCGATGCTGCTCGAGCCGCTGTGCACCCCGGAAGCTGAGCGGATCGCCGGCGTTAACGATTTACTCGACCCACGGGATCGAGCGGTATTTGCTGCCGCCGTCCGCCACTGGAAGGCGGCCGGAAACGACGGGCAAAAGCTCGCGGCGATGGTGTTGGCGGAGATCCGCGAGCATCCCGCAGTCGGTAGCGCAGAGAACGCCCGCAGCATACTTTGCGACATCGCCGAATCAGTGGCGACAGCGGCTCACGTCGAGTCATTCGCGAAGGCAGTACGAGACGCTGCTCTCAAGCGTCGTCTCGTGGATATCGCGACAACAGCGGCGAGGGCCGCAAGCAACGGACGCACTGGCGAGGAAGTTCTCGCTGATCTGCTGGCGGACGTCGAAGACTTACGGCGGAGCCGCGACCGCAAGAGCAAGTTCCCCCGCATGACGATGGGCGAACTGCGGCAGAACCACCCGGAGAGACGCCGGCCAGTTGTCGAGGGGCTGATCCGTGAGGGCGAGACGATGAACATCATCGCGGCCCCCAAGGTCGGCAAGTCTTGGTTGGTTTACTCGCTGCTGCTGTCGATCGCCAACAACGAGCGGTGGCTAGGTCGATTCGAGGTGACGCCCGGCAAAGTGTGGCTGCTCGATAACGAACTGCACCCAGAGGAATTGCGGTGGCGTCTCGACACCGTCGCCGACGCGATGGGCATTCCGCTGGACGTTATCGACCGGCGAGTCGTTATCACGTCGCTGCGCGGCAACATGCGGAGCCTGAAGGATTTGAAGGAGGAGGGCATCGAGCCCGGCGAGTTCAAGCTGATTGTCGGTGACGCCTGCTATCGGTTCGCCACGATCGACGGTGACGAGAATAGCAACACCGAACAAACGAAGTTCTACAACCTAGTGGACAGCATCGCGTGGGAAGCTATTGCGGCGGTGGGATTGGTGCATCACGCCAGCAAGGGCGATCAGAGCGGCAAGGCGATCACCGATGTCGGAGCCGGAGCCGGAGCCCAAAGCCGAGCGGCTGACTGTCACCTAGTCATCCGCCCGCATGAAGAAGAGGGGTGCGCGGTAGTTCATGCAGCGGTGCGTAGCTTCGCCCCCCTGCAACCCCTGGCCCTGCGCTGGGCATGGCCGCTATGGGTTGCCGACGAACGCCTCGACCCAGCGCGACTCGCTGGACGG